AATCAACAATTTTAAGCATCATTTTCATTCTCAGTGACCCAGAATTAATAAATTTTGACTACATTTATTTCAGAAGCATTTTGGCTGTAGAGCAAAGTGATTTCTTGCCAGACAGGATGCTATCAAACTAAGTTTTCTTTAACCATCTTAAGATCTCTTTCTTTATCTGGTGGTGATGGGCACTATCTGGACAGGATCGTCTTCCTAACAGCCCAATACCACCTTATTTCAGTGTGATTGGTGTGGGATGTGAGGATGTGACCCTACGCTTCCCAGCTTATGGCTGCCCCTGCTGCTTAGCCAAAGGCCTTAGCCTAAGAACAAGGCCTCAGACTATCCTAGTGAGAGAAGGCCCATACACAGAGGGACTGTGATTTTGATTCTTTGTTTTTATACCCCTGTAACTAGCTAAGTGATAAAAATACACCTAAGTTCTTAAAGCATAGACTTTACAGGCAGGCCTGAATATCTATATTCTAACAGTGGATTCTACCCCTTCCCCCATTCTGTGTGTGTCTTGTCTACTGAGATTGTAAATTCTTCAGGGCATGGGCCATCTACTATTCTGGGTTTGGACTTTGCCTAGCAAAATGGGGACCCACTGTTAGTTGGTCCTTAGGCACTAAGGTAATGAATATGATTTACAATAATAACAACTCTCCTGCCACTTTGAGCCAAGGAAGCTGGTCTTGGGATGTTACTGCTTAAAAATGAACTGGGGTTAAAACCATGAAATATTCTTTGTGACAAGTATCCCACAAATGCCATGGACCTCCCTTCTTTTCTTTGCCTTGAGTAGGGTTTCCAGTTTCCAAACCTGATGTGATCTCGCAGCTGGAATGAGGGGAAGAGCCGTGGGTCCCGGCCCTCCATGGCTCTGAGAAAGAAGTGCTCCCGAGAGCTGCCTGCACAGGTAGGGAATTGGTTAAACCAACTCAAAAACTGTCTGTGAATACAGGAAATATTTGGAATGCCCTACAAAGGCCTTGTGAGCTCTCCAAGTTCAGAACTGTTCCCTGCAGATGTGGAATCACTAGGCAGAGGTCACTCATGGCTTCCCACCTTTCCTGGCTGACAACTGGCAGCAGGACCCTCCCCATCTCACTTTCCCCTGAGAGTTCTGGTGAGACGCGGACCCAGAACTGATCCCTTCCTCTCTCTCCTCTGGGGAAAATCCGCTCCTGATAGGTTTGATCTCTCCTGCACATATTTTTGGTTTGTTCATCCCTTTTCCATTCTTCTCTCTGAGATTTCCTTTCTCTATGGTGCAGGTAGTGACCTATGTCTGAATTCTCTCTTTCTCCCATCAGGTGTTGGAATGGTGAGTGAGAATAAGGAGGCAAAACCCCAGCAGGAAGATGCTGACCAAGTGGAACCACATGAGACATTATCAGGAAGATCCAAAGGCAATGTTTCCAGAAAAACATAGTGCACTCCCAGAAAAAGCAAAAGCCTGTGAGACTCAGCAGATGCCAGAGGAAAACTTGAGGAGCGACTCAGACCTTATTACACGTGAGAGAATCAACTTGGAAGAGACACGCTACATATGCCATGAGTGTGGGAAAAGCTTCAGTGGGAGCTCTCACCTTCTCAGACATCAGGGAATCCACAGAGGAGAGAGACCCTACACATGTTCTGAGTGCGGGAATAGCTTCAATCAGAACTATACCCTCATCAGACATTGGAGAACCCACACTGGAGAGAAACCCTACACGTGCTCTGAGTGTGGGAAAAGCTTCAATCAGAGCTCAAACCTTATCAGACATAGGAAAATCCACACAGGTGAGAAACCTTATGGATGCTCTGAGTGTGGGAAACGCTTCATTCATACTTCAGCCCTCATCTCACATCAGAAAATCCACTCAGGAGAGACACCCTACTTATGCTCTGAGTGTGGGAAAAGCTTCAATAATAGCTCTGACCTGATCACACATCGTAGAATCCACACAGGAGAGAAACCCTACACGTGCTCTGAGTGCGGGAAAAGCTTCAATCAGAGCTCAATCCTTACTAGACATCAGAAAATCCACATGAGAGAGAACTGTAATAAATGCCTTGACTAGGGCTGGCCAAAGACTTTTCTTTAAAAAAAAGTCACATTTGCTGATTCCCACAGAGTGATCTTTGCACCATCTTCGTCGTGGTCGCTCAGCTCCCCCAGATGAGTTGCCTGCTTCTGCCTTTTTCAACTCACCCTTCTTTGGGGTCAGTCCTGTGATCTTTTCTATCAACTCCTTTCCTTTTGAGTCGTAGGAGTGTGTGTCCCTCAGCCAGGAATGTTCATCAGCTCCAGGTGGGAGAGAGAGATTTGATCCTAACAAGCTACAATGAGGCAAAAACTACCTGTGCCTTACAGCCACTAGGACTGTACGTGGCGTTGGCTGCTCAAGTTAGTGATCTTGGTGTAAAAAGACAATTCTAGTTGTAGTGCAGAGGCAGCCCAGGTGCAGTGGTTGGCATTAGCTTTCCCCTTGACCTGACCTAAACTCCATCACTTTTCCTAGTCTAAACAAACCCTGAGCATCACGGTTATACTGTTCCCCCATTTCAAAGCAATTGTTAGTAATCAGTGACAATGAAATTAAACATGAAGTTAATTAGTGTAATGTAAGAGGCTGATCTGTGATAACTTTCAGTGTTACAGTATGATTCAGGTTTTCTTCTAGTTCTCTCCCTGCCCCCTCCTACTCTATCGGAAATGGTGGCTAATCCTGAAATTAAAACCTCACTGCAAAGGAATTAGAGTGGGGGAATATGTGAGAGAAATAGCATGCACGAGAATAGAGACCCAGTGTGGCCTGTATTTATTTCTATTTAAAATTGAATTTATTTTGATAAATTTTAAAATAAATCTTCTGTTAAGAGGAAAATTACTTGAGACAAGATGTGTAACGTTTTACCCATCCCGTACAGTGCTGATGTGTTTTTGTTTGTTTAAACAGTCTCTCCGACGGTGGTTGCTTTTTAATAAAAGAATCGTTTTGGTTTGAAAGCAATCCTTATTCCATTAATTGAAAGCAAACAGAGCCCTGCAAAGCAACAGGCAATTTTCTTAAGCCTTCATAGTGCATTGTCTGCACCAATAACAATCCTCTCCTAGCATTATAAGCACTGCACTCCCATACATAGCAACAAATATTAGTGGCTTTCAGCTTCAAATTGCTGCCTCAAGGTATCCCTGATCCTTATGGCCCTGTGCTCCGCCTCTAAGAGCCCTGGTCTCTGGCTGTTCAAATTCAGCCTCCGGGTGCTGAGCCTCAGTAGTCCAGCCCTGAGTGAAGCTTTCACCCTTCCCTTCACAAATAAATGGCCAAAAGCACACTCAACAGTCACTCTGCACTTGCTCAGCCTGTTGTTGAGCCGCTCCTTGCTGCTGTCAAGGTGCCCCATGTATGGCTTCATAAGCCACAGCACTAAGGGGTAGGCAGGGTCTCTCAGGATCACAATGGACATTTTGACTTCCCCTACGGTGATCTGCTCTGGGAAGAAAGTCTCTGCTTCCAGCTTCCTGAACAGGCCAGTGTTCTGAAAGATGTGTGTGTCATGCACCTTACCAGGCCAGCCTGCATTAATGTCAGTGAAATGCCCACGGTGATCCACAAGTGCCTGGAGAACCATAGAGAAGTACCCCTTCTGATTAATGTACTCCGTGACTAGCTGGTATAGTGCTAGAATTGGAATATACGTGCCATCTATCGCCCCTCCGCAGTTAGGGAAGCCCATTTGTGCAAAGCCATCCACAATGTCACACAAGTTGCCCAGCGTCACAGTCTTTCGGAGCAGGATGCAATTAATGGCCTTGCACGCTTTTGTCAACACATGTCCAATGGTCGACTTTCCCACCTCAAACTGATTAGCGACCGATTGGTAGCAGTCTGGAGTAGCCAGCTTCCACAGTGCAATTGCCACGCACTTCTCCAATAACAGGGCAGCTCTCATTCTCGTGTCCTTGCGCTGCAGGGCTGGGGCAAGCTCATCACAGAGTCCCATGAATGTGTCTTTCCTCACCCGAAAGCTTTGCAGCCACTGCTCATCATCCCAGATGTGCATGACGATTGATTCCACCACTCAGTGGTTGTTTCCCGAGCCCAAAAGCGGCATTCTACTGTGGTCAGCACCTCTGTGAATGCCGTAAGCAATCTCATGTCATAGCTACTATGCATAGCGAGATCAATGTTGTATTCCGCTTGTCTTTGTAGTTTAAGGAATAACTCCACTGACACTCATGATGTGTTAATAAGAGCGAGCAGCATATTGGTCAACAGTGCGGGATCCATTCCTGCTGTCCGAAGAGGCAGAATGCGCAATACACCAACCATTGAAAGATGGCGCCAGATGTGAATGGAAGCACAGGGATTGCTGGGATGTGAAGCAATGCATCACACTGCATTGGGACAGGACCCAGGATGCCCCGCGACCCCCTCCACCTTCCCACAACTCTTAGCGGCATAAGAGGAAGAGATGCTCAGTGGGATACTGAGTGCACTGCTCTGAATACCGCTGCAAGTGTGAACACGCTATTGCATAGGCAGCTGACAGTGTGAACACACAATAGCAGTTTCCCTTCAGTGCTCTCTGAGCGGCACTGTAACTCCCGGCGCAGTAATTCTGCCAATGTAGACATAGCCTCAGAGAGACTGGCTGCCAGGATCCCAGGACTGATCCCTTCTGGGGAATGAAGCACAACAGCAACAGGCTATGCAGCCTGCACTAGTCTCCCTGTACCTGCAAAGCCTGCTAGCCCAACGTGCTGGAGCATCTATGCCATTACCTGGTTCCTAAACTGCAGCTACAGTTCCTATCTCAGGTGAATCCAAAGACCGAGAGGTGCAGAGATCCAACCCCTTATAATCTTAGAAATGTTTTGTTCCTTTTTCTATTTTTTGTCTGTTTCTTTTTATGAACTTGGAGACCTCCCAGCCTTTCTATTAGATTGGGGTATTAGATTGGGGTGTAACAATGGGGCTCAGTGGGGGTGAAGGGAAGATGCTAGGAAGAATAGTTCCCCAAATCCTAATAGCCTTAAAACTCTGCCCTATGAAATGACTGAATGCATGATCCTCACTCCTCCTGCACCCCCAGCCCCATCCCAGCCCAGAGCCTGCTCCCAGCACCCAAACTCCCTCCCAGAACCTGCACCCCAACTCCCTCCCAGAGCCTCCACCTGCTCCCTCCGCACCCCCTGCCATTCCCAAACACCCTCCCAGAGCCTGCAACATCCTCCCAGAGCCTGCACCCCAGCACAGAACCTGTACCCAAACTCCATCCCAGAGCCTATACCCCTCACCCCTACCCCCTGTCCCAGCCCAGAGCCTGCACCCAGCACCCAAAATCCATTGCAGAGCCTGCACCCCAGAGCCCCTCCCCCACCCAAACTCCCTCCCAGAGCCTTAGGTGGGGGTGGAGTTTTGGGGGGGGCAGGCTCTGGGCACCACCAAAATTTCTACAAACCTACCTCCCCTGTTGTCTACTGCACTCCTTTGTTCTCTCCAGCTGCTCCCTCTCTAGAGACTTTTTTTCTATCCCATCTCTCCTTCTCTTCTGTGCTCTTTCTTTTCCCGCTCCCCTTTGTTTTCCATGGGACCTGGCCCCATAGTTCTATGTTGTGCAATATCACATTTAACTTTCTAAATCAGCTGGGGCCTGGAGAATATTCCCAGGTGGTTGTCCCCTACATAGATTGCAGTGATCTGTGGTGTGTCCTCATGGGGAACCAGTTCACAAAAAGAACCAGGAGCTGGTCCCAGTGCATCCCCCATCTGCTCTGCGGAGAGAAAATTGACTCCAGGCCAAGGCCCTGCTGCAAACCCCTTGCTGAATTACAGGCTGTCTTGGAAGCCCAGTGCACAATGCTGTGCCCACAAATTCATATCCCAGCCATAGGTGTACTTGTATATAATCTAAGTAAGAGACATGGGGAAGGAAGCAAACAGGGTTAAAACCTGTGGTGCTTATGGCCCACCACATGCATTGGCCTCCCCTCAGGCAGGGGACTTATAGGCCCCTCTGCCAGTTCGTGGTGGTAGCAACAAGGGCTGGGTTCAATGTCTAGGGGAGGAGAGCAGGAGAGACCAAGGAGGAGAGAGAGTCCCGAGAGAGGAAGCAGCTGGAGGGAAGCAATGAACGCAGAGTGCAAACCGACCAGCTGAGGGTCTCACAGGAGTCCCGAAATGACAACCACTGCAGGTTCAATGATGTAATGGTTCAGCCTTCTGGACTCTGAATCCTGCCATCTGAGTTCAAATCCCAGTGGGACCTCCGGGTGCTGTGTTGGTTTGCTGTAAAACCTTGGAGCTCAATGTGCTTGATTTCCTTGTTCCTAAGTACACCAAAGTGAGTTTTTTCCTTCCTGTTGAGTGACCAATGCCCGCTAGAGCTAGGGCTTTGGTCCGGCTGATTCAACAAGCTGGCTGCCATAGGTTGGGACCCTAGAATTTAACAGTCTGGCAAGAGATTCCAGTGGGTTGACCTAATGGTTGTGTTTCTTGCTGCTTCACCTGATGCCCACAAGTTTGGTCCTTGTACCTGCAGCTGCCACGCTCTTCCTCTTGCCCACATGGCACTTAAGAGAAGCAGTTCCAGGGCCAGGCTTAATAGTCAGGGAAAGGCAGGAGGGAGAGAGTCCCCGGCTGGAGCCCAGCACACCTTTCCTCCTCTGGGCCCTAGAGCAGAGGCAGCTGTTGCTGACAGCTCTAAGGAAAGGCTTAAATGCCACAGAGCAACCGAGGGCAGGGCAAGAGGAGGGGAGGACCATGCCCATGCGTGAATTCAGAGAGTAGTTGATATCCACTCTACATACACATTGATAAAAGTGAGCAGATACTATGTTGCTGAATGATAAATTTGATAGACTATTAAAGAGCACATCTTTATATAAATGATACCCAGAAATTGCTGATATCAATATCAACTGTCAATTTCCCTGTATAAGCAGACATCCACAGAAATATCAACATTTGGCCTTATAGGAACTATGAGGCTTCCCTCTACTGCAAATAAAGGAGAAATATTCTCATGATTTACATAAATTTTCACCTTACAGATAACCTACATGTTTCTCACTGTCCTGAGTTCCACAGGACATGGGGAAGCTCTAGGAAATGGCTCCCCTGGGGATCATGTATTACATGGATCCAAAGGCTGGGGGAAGCCAGACCCAACCTGCAGCCAGGAATACCAATTCCTAGAAGCTCCCTCCTATAGAGAACTCAACTGAAGGGTCGTGAAGAAGCTGGATTTTAGGGATTTTTGGCTGAGTGCTTAATGCGATGGATTAGAAATTCATTGGGGTGTCCCCACACAGGTGCAAATGCTGCTATGAAACTTCCTGTCACACACACACACACACACACACACACACACACACACACACACACACACACACACTTTTCAAGAAAATCCTTGCAAGAAGTCAGAAGTGCTTGCTGGATCTCACTGCTCTGCTTAATAGAATCCAAACACAAGCTGAACTTGTCGGGCATAGATGGGGGCTGGCAGGGAGTCGGGTGTGGAATGGTTTAAATTACACAGACAGGCACTAGTGACAAAGAACCAGAATGTGTGGGAGTGTAAAGCTGGTTGGTCAATGTTACACTCCCCTCCCAGCTGACATTGTCTGTCTACGAGAGGTGCAAATCTCATCTCTAATATGGCACATTCTGCCGAACGTGAGAGGTACCTTCATTTATGCTCCGTGAGGTTTGATCTCTGTTTTGTGCACTGTGTTTGTGAATGAAAATTATAGACTACCATATTCAAAAAAAAAATGCATCAGCACATGTGATTGACCCAGCCACGGACAATAAGAGAAATGCCAATGAGTTGAAGGTAATGACGTTCCTCTGTACTAGACAGGGACTGGCTACAGAGGCCTTGGCTACACTTGCAGCTGTACAGCACTGT